CGATCCCTCTGCCATTCTGGAATGTTCCTCAGACATGTGATATTTCATGCCCTTATAGCTGTTAGTCCTTCAAGCTGGACCTCAGCTATCACCTCGCTTCAAGGCCCTCCCTGCCCATGACATTAGGTCACCTGCTTGTGGGTCTGAGCTCCCGGATCTTTTATCTCTGTGTCTGTCCTGATGACAAGAACAGCAGCACCAGCGCCTCCAGTGGGAGCACCCCTGGAATGTGAAGCCCGAGAAGGCAGGGACCCCCAGAGCCCAGAACAGAGCCGGCCACGGCAGACTGGCAACGATAATTCACGGAGAGAAGCCCCCTGGCCTGGTGGTATGTGCTGGCAAAGTAGTTCGACACGGAGCGCTGCGAACGGGCCCAGGGACAGGACCTTCACTTCTGCTGAGGACCTGCTCTGCCCCCACAAGACGCTACTTTTTGCCCCTTTATTAGCCGAGGAAACAGAGGGCTGGGGAGACTAAGTAAGCTGCCTCGAGTCATATACTTGATAAGTGTGTCAGAACCTGAACTCAAAAGCAGCTGCCAACGCCCTGCTGTATTTCACTTGACATTTCTGAAATCAAGACTAAAAGCTACACATCTTCCTTCAGAAGAAAAGGTGAAGGCGCAGGAGAGGGATTTTCGTGAAACCCTGTAGCTCTGTCCGTGCACATAGCTGACTTCTTTAATTTCCAATTGATCTGTTTGTTTTTGTTATAAAATTAGCTGGTTGCTAAGCAACTGCTTAGGGAGCTCTGATGCTGAACTCTTTTTGGTACCCAAGTGGGCCCCCCAAAAAGAGTGATTAAGTGTTTGGGGGTCTAATGAGGAGGTTGCCGATCAGCCTGCTCTGGTATCCCAGGGTTTCAGAGTGGCTGGGCCCCTCCCACAGGGAGCAGGCTGTCCTAGAGGGGACCTCTGACCCCAGTTTAACCTCTCTGGGGCCTCAGCTGGGTTGCCTGTGACCGCATGTACCTGATAAGGAGGTGTGAAGAGCAGAAGTAATAGACACAAAGCAGCTGGTGGAGTTGGTGGCACATAATCAGGGCTCAATAAATTATAAGTATCATCATTTTTAACATTAATATTCTAACAGTGTTTGGGCAGAGCATTTTGTTGGATATCTACGCCGGAAAAGTCAGTCTCTAGGGGAACCCCCGGCCTTGCTGGGGTCCACGACTGCCTCGGCAGACAGCAGCCTTAACCTCATCCCACACCAACGCTACCACACTGGCCACGAGGCATATCCACTTTTAGTGTTTGATCAGAAACAAATCCATCCCACTTGATGGCAAAAAAAAAGTTCCTTAAGCCAATGGCGAGCCAAGATGTTTATCTTCACCTGTAAAGAACAGTGCACGCTTATTTGGGGCTTCTGACAGAATCATGTTCCTTCCCAGTTCTCAAAATTCTGGTGCTAGGAATTATCGAGGCCAGAGGTCACAAACTAGTCATCGGGAGTGGGCGTGGGGCTTCCATTCAGCCTGAGACATGGGGGCCTGGCTCCACAAGGCCTTTTTTTTTTTTTTTTTTTGAATTAGTTGTCAACATTAAAAATAACGCTATGAAAATCCAGCTTCTAGCTTCTCTAGAAAAATATGAAGAGCTTCGCCCTGCGCCCCTCCCCTGTTCCCCCGGGGCAAGGCTTCCACAATTAAAGTGGGGAGACACCAGCGGCCTAAGGTGGGGGCTGTGGTCTCCCTAGTGAACACGCTCAGCATTCTTGGCCCCTTTAGGCCAAGATCCTGGTCCTCACGGGCATCTTGCAACTCCTGATATAAGTCCCCTTCTTCATTTCACAATGAGGAAAGGAGCTGAAGAAACAGAATGGCTGGAAGTCACGCAGTTCGCCAAGGCAGAGTGTGAGCTGGAGCAAGGATTCCAGGATTCCGGGGTCCCAGCCATTGCCCCCCCACACCCCACCACCACTACACTTGAAGTCAATGCCTCAGCCTCAGGAAGGACATGCGCACAGCAGACCAAGAGAGGTGGGCAGGAGCAACGGCTGAAGCAGGCAGGGCTTTGGGCAGTACAGGCATCTCAAAGGAAGTCTCCAGAGGCTGCATTTGAAAGAGCTTTGCTTTCAAAGCCAGGCCTCTTTGCACACAGTTATTGATTTCAGTGGCAGAATCTCTTCTGGGTCCCTCTACTTGTGTCTGCTGCGACTTCTGACCCTTTCACCGGGTTTTTATCACCTCTCATGTGGACTGATGCAAGAGCCCCCTAACTCACCTCCCTCCCTCTCATCCTACCGGTTGTGTTCCTTCCACGATGCAACCACCTCATGGAAGGAACACAAAACGCCTCATCTTCCATGCACACCTAACCGTGCCATGCTCAGCGATTCCCACAAAGTGCAGGCTCCTTAGCACAGTGCCTTGTACCTCTGACAGTGTCCCTGATGTGACAGCTCCCCTGCCAGGAATGTCGCCAGCCCCACCGGCTGACTGTAGCTCAGCCTTCTCGGGCCTCACCGTCTCCTCCTAAGCCCCTCCAACCTCCGATCAGCTCCACAGCACCTGGACACCCCCATCACGGTACCCAAAGAACTTGTGGCTCCCTCTGTTGCTTCTGCTTCCTGACAGCTCGGTGAAGCATGGTTGCTATCTGCATGATCCAGAGATATGGGAGCATGTAGTAGGCGCCTTATACATCTTTATGTACTAAACAAGTGAAAAGATGGATGGATACTATGGATGGAGAAGAAAAATAAGGAAGGGGACATTCTCTTTTCATTCTCGACAGGCAAGTCACTCCACTTCTCTGGTCTCAGGCCCCACGTGCACGCTAAAAGAGGATGAGGGAAGATCATTCATTCTCGACTCAGGGTCCCTGGACTTCTGCAGGCCCGTGAAGAAAGGAGTAGAGTTTTAGGAGCAATGTGCAATATTTCAGAACCCTGAACCACACGCACTGTGACAGGGTGGCCAAGGTCAACTAAAACATCAGGGGACTGCGCATTAAGTAAATACTAATTAATGGGCATGGGGGGACACCTCGTACTGAGTAAGGTCTTGATTATCACTTCGTAACATCTTTGATCAATACAACATAGGAAGACTGCGTAAAAATACAGGGCTTACGTGTAATGATTTTGAAAACATGACGCCATGAGGTAAAGTAGTGAGATGGGGAGAGTAGAGAACACAGACTCTGAAGATGGGGCCAGTCTTCCCGTGGAAGAGCCCCAGAAGGGTGGAGGACGCGCTGTGGCCCTGCAGCCAGCCTCCCTCTTCTTGGTCAAGGCGGCCCTGGTCCCCACCACCTGCTTCTTTGGGAGCCCTGCCTGACACCCAGCGCGGTCATCCTGCAAACTGCCAGGCTTCAGAATCTATAGGAATCAGCAGCTGAAAGCCCTGTCTGGCCACACGGGGGCACCGTCACTCCACACACTGGGATTCCAGGCCCCGGCTGGAGCTGGCGCAGGAGCAGGAGGAGCAGGAGGAGCAGGAGGGCTCGGCTGTCAGCACCCTGCGTGGCCCGGAGCGGGGGTTCACAGGGCTCTGTACCACAACGGATGCTCTCTGGGGAGATGCCGCCCATCCTCCCTGAAGGAGGGTTATGCTGCCCCGAGGTCGCGCATGCTGCCGTTCTCAACAGAGAGGCTGCTGCTCACAGGGGAGGGGTGGGTGCTCTGAGCCCCCAACACAGCCCGACTCAGAAGTGCACAGAGAGCACGGCTGTCTTCCCTAGAGAGGGCAGGGCAGGAGGGCGCCCGTATCACACCCACACTCCCGCTCTCTAGCTTTGGGTCTGTCAGCTCTTTTGGAAGCTCTTTTAAATGTGACAGAGACCATGAGACAGAAAGACTGAGACACACACAGAGAGACACACACGTGCGCTTACATACAGACACACACATGTTCACATACACACATGGAGGAAGGGAGGGTAACAGAGAAAGATCAGACCCTGCTCCATTTGGGACAGCCACAGACCCCAGAGTGGCCAGACAAGAATCGACACAGGGAAGCCTGCAGACTTGGAGTCCGACAGATGCTGGTTCAAATCCCAGGGCCCCCTGTGTGGCCTTGGGGGCATTGCTATGCTACTCCGAGCCTCACGGTGCCAGCAGGCAAGGCGGGGCTGAGAGTCACCATGCCTGCCTTTTGGACGACGTGTGGATCCAGCAGGATAATTAACATGTGCACACCACTTCTCACGGTACCTGGACGGAGGCGAGCACTCACTCGGTCAGAGGTAATTCATGCTGACAAATGACAGCCATAAAGGACTGAACATGTTTGACCATTTACACCCTGTGACTTCAGCTTTTGCACACAGGGACTCGAGGGCGGTATGAATGCTACAGTCCCGTTGAGTTCAGACTGTTCTTCCATAATAAATGTCACTCCCCACATGACTGTCTAAGGCTGCCATGGGCTGAGTGCTTTCCCCAGCCCCTGGATGCCTGGCCCTCCAATGGGAAGGGGACTTGGGAAGGGTCAAGGGAGAGTCAGAGAGACGGCTGTGATGGTGAGTGAGCCCAGGGTCTGGAGGCCGACTGGTCACGCTGTGCCCTGGCCCCCACATTACCTGGTGTGTAGCCTTGGGCTAACGGCTCAGTCTCACTCCCGCAGTCTCCCACTGGGAGAATGAAGATCATAATAGCATCCGTGGCAGGCACTGTAGGGGGAGGGGATGAAATCCTACTTGTCAATCACTCAGAACAGTGCCTGGCACTCAGCAAGGACTTCAACACGTGTTAGCTACCACCATCACTTTGATGTGCTTCATGGAAAAGGCAGTGATCTTTCTAGAATGGATAGGTGAAGGCTGTCTGATACAAAACTGGATGAGGAAAGACGATCACATAGAAGCTACAGAGAGAACGTTAGACTGGCAGACAAAAAGAGATGCTTCCTAGACCACGTTCTGCTACTACCGCCTCATGGGGCAAACCGGCGTTCCTTCCAACCTGTGCACGAGGAAAAAGGAGGCTTGGGGAGGACCCCAGGGACGGTCTGGCCCTGGCAGATGTGCGCCTGCGGCTGCGGGCCCTCACCTGAGGTACTCATAGAGCCCGTACATGGGCAGGAAGTCGATGTCGGACAGGAACACGTAGGGCGTGCCCACGTGCTTCATGGCCACGTTGCGCAGCAGGTTCACAGGGTAGAACTGGCCCTCCTTGTACACGATGTGGTAGGCCACGTTGTGACGGCTCATGAGCACCTCGGAGCCCTGTGCGTAGCGGAGGAACTGCTGGGCCTCGGCGTCGGACAGGTAGAGGGCCAGGCTGATGGGCCCTTCCCAGTGCTTGCAGATGGCCTCGAGCATCTGGAGCCTGTGAGACAGGGCAGGTGAGACAGGGCAGGTGAGCCACAGTTCATCCCTTCCATGCACCCTCCATCCCACCCCCTGGAGGGGCGGGGGGCGGGGCGCCCGCCTCCACAGACACCTGGTCAACCAGCCTGAGTCCAAATCACTGCGTGAGAGGGCAAATCGCCAAACCTCAGCTCCTTTACTGGCCAAATGGCCATAATCTTTGTCTGCTTTTAATGGAATGAGTGATATCGAGAGAGTCACACCCCAATACAAGCCTTCCCAAGGGGGTGGGGAAGGTTATATTGAATGATCTAAAGACCCCCTTCCAGCTCAAAACTCCTCTCCCTTTCCTCCTCTCTCAGAGAAGATAAATATAGCTCTACCAAGTTCCTGAAGCAGTGACCAGCCACAGAAGGTTTAGCCGAACTGAGGCCATGCGTCACAAGGAGCATTATAACAAGCAGGAAACAGAAGACTAGTAATAACTACACTCACTCGACTCATCACTATGCACCACACCCCTCAGAATTCTCCCAGAATCCCTGTGCCCCTCCCCCGCGTTCTCCTGAGGGGAGAATTGAGCCTCCAGAGGTCTAGTCAGTTTTGACTTAGGGGCTGGGATCAGACCTGAGTAGACAGGGACCCGGCCAGGGCCTTGGGGGGATCGTGAGAAGGAAATAATACTGGGCATTTGGTAAAAGAAACGGCAAAACACGTGACTGTTGGGGACAAAAAGAGTGGCTGGGGCGAGGGACATCAGTCTTCGTTCTTCAGAGCCCCTCCTGTCCCAGCGCCATAGCCTCGGTGCAAGGCTGCCTGGCAGGCACCGGCCAAGGGGAGTTGGGGAAACACCAGAGAAAAACCAAAAAGTGCTTCCAACAAAGAGTGGGCTCTGCAAAAAAGAGGAGAAATCTATGAAGATATTTTTCCCCCTAAGGCATCAGAAGTGCCTGCTCCATGAAACCTATGGTGAAGAAAAAGCAAAAGCTTATTTCACTTTTTTTCCCCCTACCCAGCAAGAGGTAGACAACCAGCAGCCTCCGGTCAGATTGCCCACTTCAGTTGGACAATTACCAGGAAATAGATTCCTCGAATTTCTGTGCTTCTAAACAAAAGGAAAATGGGCACCCCTATCTCGCATCAATGGCTTTCTGGATGGGCTTTCAGAGTTTCCTTTCGGTAATTCTGCCGATTTGCTTCCTCTTTTCTCTTTGGAGGATTAAGATATTCATGGGATAAAATGACCTCCATTTCTCATCCTTTTACGAGGCTTGCTAATCAAATTGACCAGAGCTGGCTATTTAGGGGCATTACATTCTCCACAAAGCCTAATCTCTGAAATTTGCACCCGGCCTCTGCGGCAGGCCCTGGTCTCTGCTCGCTCTGCACACCTAGGATTTGGCGCTATTCCACCTGCACCTCAGTTTCATCTTCTGTGGAAGGGAGGGGAGGGGAACTCTGCACCGGGGAGAGTGTTTGCGCAAGTCCTTCGAAATTTGGGAAGTCAAAGGCAAGGATCATTTCTAACGTGTGGATGTAAGAGTTGCTAGAGGAAGTGGGATGTGGGGGCCGCGTACGGGCGTGAGGAGAGGCCATGTTCGGCTGCGGATCCTCCCACTGGCTTGGTTTTTGACTGTGAGAGAGGCCCAGTCCAGGAGCCGCCCATCTTCTGAGCTCTGCGAAGGGCTTAGAGTGGTAACAGACTCACAATACTCACGGGTCACAGGAGAAAGGTGCTGCTGATGTGACAAACGCCACACCCACGTGGCTTGACAGGGAACGGTGCCAGATGTTCTGTGGAACCTCAGCACGCGACAACCGACGATACAGAGCCCAGTTCCGTATCTCTGCCACCAGCCCCAGCCTCTCCCACTTTTCCTCCCCCACAGGCAAGCTTTCTGCCAGGAGCTCATCAACAGTGACCCGCGGAGGTTTATCATAATGATGATGAGGCGTAACCTGTGATGACGATGCAATCCATCCCTGTCATTTATCTGTTGCATAAAGTAGGCTGGCCACATGGGGTCTGAACCACATGTAACATTCATGGCAATCATAAAGGTGAGGTTTTCAGCCCTGTTTTACAGCTTCCTTGGGGAGCTCAAAGCGGTGACCTGACTTGTTTCAACTCACGTAGGCACAAAGCGGAGCAACTGGATTCACACCCAGGTCTGTCTGACCCCAATGCCCAGGATCCAGATCATTATTCAATATAGACTATATTGAATATAGGTGTTAGGCCAAGAAAAATGTCCCCAAATACCTTCTCCTCGTTGCCTGTTTCATCAAATAAGAATGTGGTCTTGCTTAGGTGTCAACTTGTCCCTGTTCATTCTTCCTGCTCAGTCACTCTTGGGATCTGCCTCTTCTCACACCTGCTCCCAAGGTTCATCCCCACGTAGCCCTTGTTGCTGCAAAGTTCTATGCCAAGTCTTTCTTTGTCCCTTACGTAGGGAGACCCAGTACTTGGCATAGCGAGGGCCTGAGCTGATACAAAGTGCTTCCAGAGACAAAGATTAATTCCAGAACGACGGAACTGTCAGCTTGGAAAACCTCTTAAGAGATTTTTTGAGTCTGGTTACACCATTTTCCCGAGGAAAGAGCTCAGCCTTGGAGAGGAATGTGCCTCGCTGACGAACTCGATGAGTGAGTCAGAAGCTAATACCCGAACCCAAGTCTGACTCTGTCCCCTGAGTTTCTCCAGTTCCCCGCAGAACCTGCCATCATTCATGCTAGGATAAGGAGGACAAGGGCTCCAGACCGACCCGAGGGATGTCTGGCAGATCTAGAAAAATAGGCAGGGTCCTCCTGTGGCAGGGAGCCTCACACAGGCTGCATAGGGACCGGGCGGCAGACGGGGAGACGGCCGAGTAGTCAGAAACCTCGAAGGCCAGGGTTGGAAGGAAGTCTTGAACGACAGTTGGCCTAAGCAGTCCAGGCAGGTATCTCAGTTTCTGCTAGAAAGGGGGACTCGCTCCCTACAAGGTGGCAGACTACCATCTGGTCTACTGGGGCCAAGCAGGCTGCCTGGGGCAGAGGTGTAACTCTGGCTTCTGGGGTCAGACACACCTGGGCTTGAACTCCAAACTGTCAGTATCCCTGAGTAAGGGACAAGGGCCCTTTGAGCTTCCATGTCCACATTTGCATATGGGGGATAATAACACCTTTGTAGGTTACAAAATGGCTACAGATCATTTCCTTCCTGCTATCCACACCCTTTGGTAATACCCTCCTGCCCTGATTCTGGGCTGGCCCTGTGACTTGCTTCGGTCCATGAAGCATTAGCAAACAGGACACGTTCCAGGGAGTTAAAAAGTACTTTGTTCGGTGGGGCTTGCTCCTAGCTGCCCTTGGAACCTTGTGGCTGCCGCCACGTGAGTAAGCCTACTTACTCTACCACGATGAAGTGTTTGACACGATGCTGGACATGCAGCAGGAGCTCAGTCTACAACAGCGGTAATTTCCTCCTTAGGTTATATTTCTGGCGTTCAAACATGCATTCATCCCACAAATATTTATTCGATATCTACAATGTGCAGGTATTGTGCTGGGTCCCAGAATGAGCAAGAAAGACAAGGTTCTTGCACTTAAGGAGCATCTTTCTAGATGCGGGGGGTGGGGTATTTTTACAAATAATCCAAGCTAAATTCAACAAATAATCTAAGATAAATTCAGAGCAAATTAAGGGCTACAGAGGCAATAGGACAGGAAACAGGATAGGAAGTAGCCCTGAGGGCTCTCCTGCTGTAGGTGAATTCTGAGACCTTGGCAATGAGAAAGACCCAGACTCCAGAAAGCCTGGGTGAAAAGTTTTCCAAGAAGAAGGAACAGCCTTTGGGGTAAAACTGAGTTTAGCATGTTCCAGCAAGACGACACAGGACCAGTGGGGACGGAACAGGGGCTAGTAAGGGGCAGACGGCGGGGAGATGTTGGGAGTGGACAGGTGTCAGGTCACCCAGGGCCCCGAGGGCTGCCAGGACTGAGGTGACATCCGGGAGCGGCTGGGAGAGTGACCCGGGGCCAGCGACATTCACTGGTATTGAATGGAACTCTACGCCGCCTCCCCCGATTCGCTGTGACATTCGCGTAGGGCCTATGTCTCACTCAAAGGTTTACAAACACACCCGAAATGTTTCTTAAATTAAAAATCAACCCAACAGGTACCAATCAGCCTGCTGCGTCGTAATTGGATGTGCAGGATGGCGGGGAAGGAGGAATTTCTACCGTCTTCATCAACACATGGGGCCCCTTTAGAATTTTTTATCACATCCCGCTAAGTGTCTCTTGTTAGGGCGTGGAATGCCTGGGGTTCTCTGAGGTGCTGTCAGGATGGCAGTACTTGTCCCAATGCCTTACGGGGACGCCCCTGGGTCTGCCATGCTGGGAGGCGTGTGTGGTTTGAAGGCCGGGCCTCTGTGGTTAGTGTTGGCAGCTGACTGGGGTGCCCTGCAGGGGAAGGTCCTGGCGGGCCACCGGCAGCAGCCCAGGCCAGGAGGACGCTTCTGCTGGCAGTGGGGGGAGGGGCTCTGTTTGTCCTGTATGTTGATAACCAGTGTAGACAGAAGGATAGATTTGGGTTATTAATAACTAAAAAACCTCTCCAGTTATTTGTATACTCCAGACAGCAAATTCACGGCCAGCACAGAGGTAAAACAACGTTAAGCGGGTGGGAGGGAATAACATGGGCTGCACACCTACTGCTTGCTGGGCACTTTCCAGCCTCGTTTTTTATATAACCCAAACAACAGTCTGTGAACTTGCCAAGCTATTGCCATTTGATAGATAAGTGAGGTCCAAAAACCCTAAATAACTTGCCCAAATTCACACAGCTAGTAGGTGGTGTAACTGGACTGTGAACCCAGGTTTTGCTTTCTCTTTCTCTTTTCTTCCCCTACACCGTCTTGCCGACCACGTGCCGATGCTGTGGTCAGGATGTTCAGATCCAGCAAATATTTACCGACTAAAAATATGTGCCAAAGGCTTTCACAGAGAGTCTCTCATTCAGCCCTAACTAGGACCCTCTCAGGAAGGTATTTTTAAACCTCTTTACAGAGGGAGAAAGGGACCCAAAGTTAAGTGACTTGCTCAAGATCACCAGCTGAAGATTAAAGAAGCTGGTGGGATTTGAACCCAGAGCTCTTTGTAAGTCTGGAGTCCTTTTGCACACTACCACAAATATCAAGACTTTGGCCAAAGGTGTTACATATCATTTAGGAAGCCTTAGCATGGATGGCAAGGCTAAACACTAGGCATGCATGATCTCATCTAATCTTTACACAATATGACAACCCCAGGGAACAGCTACTAAGATTATCATTCTCATATCACAGACGAGGAAACTGGGGCCTAAAGAGGTCGACTTGTCTGAGGGTCAAACCCAAGAAATGGCAGAGCCCCCAAGACCCCACAGTGCCCAGAGACTAAGCGATTCACTATGAGGCTACTTTTTATTCTGATTAGAAAGTATGTCAAGTTTCTTTGTCTCTTTCATTTTCTCCTGAGTTTGTTGGTAGCCACGAGCTCCTGTACTTGATTCGGAACATTTTGCTGATAAGCTGATGCATTAATAGGAGGCGTTTGGGTGACCTAGGAGAACCAGGGTGCTCTGGGAGGTGGGAACCTGGCATTACTGGGGACTCAAATCACCTGGGCAGATTACAGTTGTCTGAGCCTCAGGTACCTCCTCTGAGGGGCCTGAGCTGCCTGGGAAACAGAAGGCCAATCTAGACCATCATCCAGCATGACTACCAAGAATGCGGCTTTATTGTCATTCCATAGCGGGGAGGAAAAAGAAAGGACTGCTGTGGCCAGGTGACTTACCAATGTGCTGCTTGCTGGGGGAGAGCGTGGGTGGGGGCACAAGCTGAAAACTAGGTAAGACGCCAAAGGGACAGGGAAGTTTAGGGGTGACTCCGGGACGCTGGCGTAGATCAGTCCCTTGTGGAGCATCTCTGGGAGCCTGACAGGGTTGAGCCGGCAGGAACCGGAAAGCAAGGAATCAATCGGCTTCCTCCTGGCTCGTTCAGCCACATTCAGCATGAATCACTCCCAGATGCCTCCAGATGCAAGACCTGCCCACTCCCCAGGACCCCTGCACTGCTTTTTGTAAACCTCTCATGTCCGAGTGCTTTTTCTTTCATTGTTTGCGCATCCTTCAGTCATTTGTGACTAACAACAGCGGACATTTATCGAACACTGAAGTGTGCCAGGTACTGTTCTCAGCACTGCCCAGGTATTAACTCATTTACTCCTGAGAAGGACCCCATGGAACAGCAGGATGGACAGGCGTCTCTGAGGAAGCTCAGAGACAGAATGAGCCGAACTCCCTTCCTGACTGTGGGAGGTGAGGAGGGATGACATGAAGGGTGCTGGGGCAAGGGCAGCCACTGTGGGCCATGTGCACATCAAAGCAGCAGCAGGCGAGCAGAGGTGGGAGGGGGGCACATAGGACAGCTGGGTATAGAAAAGTGTGGCCCTGAGTGAGTGACTTTAGGGCTTTGAATCCACCCACCTCCTTGGAGCCAGAGAAATGTTTTCCAAAAACCTAAGTTAGAGCAAATAACTTCGTATACGTTTCTTCAGTAACGTCTCAACACACTTAGAATAAAGTCTGAGTAATTTATGAGTTTCTAATGTTCTGTCACCTTCACCTCAGACACTCAGCTCTCAGCGCCCCGCTACGCAGCAGCTGCACTGCTCTTCTATCAGGCTCTGAATGTGCACGGCGCTTCCCACCCCAGGGCTTTGCCACCTGCTATTTCATCCTCCTGGAAAACACTTTCTCAGCAGCTCGTAGGCCTGACTCCTTTTCTCATCTTCTAAGTCCCTGCAGAAATGTCCCCCCTTAGAAAGACTCTCCCCAACCATACCACCTAAAGAAGAAGGTCCCTTACTTGACACTGTCCTCACCTATCCCGGTTCTTTCAAAGCACTTACCATAATTACAATTACTTCACTTCACTGCATATTGTTGTCTATACACTAGGCCCCTGTTCTCAACTCTGGCTGCACATTGCAAACTGAGAACAATGCAACATTTCCACCCCACAAAGACTCCTATGTAACCGGCCTGCAACGGAGCCTGGACCTGAATCTGCTTGAAGAGCCCCCAAGGTGATTCAGTCTGTCCCCAGCTGGGGCTGAGAACCAGGGCATTAGACTGTGAGCCTTGTAAGAGGAGAAGGCAGATGAGTACGGCCTGCTGACGGCTCGGTCCATCTTTGTTGCATCCACACATGTGGAAGGAGACAGAACGGCAACTGCTTTCCAGCTTGACTGGGGTTCCAGTCTGCCTGTTTCCCCAATATGAGCCCTCTTTTCCTGGAGTAGAGCTCCCTTTCTTAGAGTCAGTCCTCTCCATCTTTAAAACCACCACTGTCACCAAAAGACAAGAGCCCTGGGCTTTCAATGCAGTGGGGAGGGGCAGGCACAAACCCTACCACATCAGGCTCCGAGAGACTCAGCCCCCAACCCCCCGCCCCCGTCCCTTCTCCATCCGACCAGGGAACTAGCAGCAGCAGGGAGGGGCCTGAGGGAGGGCCCCTGTGCCCTACCTGTCCATGGAGAGCTGGGCGACCAGGGTGACGTCGGTGCTGTCCGCAGCGGGCTCGCACTCATAGTGCAGGAAGTACAGGTGGGTCCGGTGGACGGTGAAGCGCTCTCGCCGGAACTCGTAGCACAGGTCGTCCTCGTCCAGCTCCGACAGCTGCTTCTGGAGCTGAAAGGGAGGAGAGGGACACTGTTGATGGTCAAACACAGAAGGACAAGATCGCTGTTTTCATTTTCCTCCGCAATTGACTCCAATTTCCGAAAGGTGACAGTGGAGGGCGGCTCGCCCTCTGAGAAATGAGACCCCCTGAGCTCGGAATGATGGTGGCCATCAGGGACACACGGATAACCAACCGCAAACACCCTCTAAACAAACAAACAATCTTTTCCTAGATGACCTAGCACACCATTTTCAAACAACAGCAGGAAAATGGTCACAGAAGAGTAATGAACCCGAACGGAGCAGCACCTTTGTGTGAGCGGATGCTTTCCCTCCCTAGAGTTACGATTTCAGCCTTTGTAGCAACAAAGCAAAACAAAACAAAAACTCCTTTCCTTTAAATTCATGGAAGTTTGATCAGAAGTCTCAGAGCCCGATCTTTCTTTCCCTTCTTGCCTTTCTAACTCTCTGGAAGTCTTAGTTCATAAAGCTGTGTGGAGAGGGTCTTTGTCTAGCCCTACTCAGCTCCTTCCTACCCAGCCAGTGAAAGAGTGAGCCGGCCTGTTCACGGGGAGCTGAGGACTCAGCCTCAGACACGAGCGGGTGCAGGGACATGCACACCCACGTACCCGGGGCTGCTGGCTCAGGGGCCGGATGTACAGCCATCTCATGTAAACCTCACAGAAAGCCGGCCAGGCAGGTGTCGTAGGCCTGTTTCATAGATAAAGAGTCACAATGAAAAAGTAAAAGGGTTTTGATAGTGATATAAATTAGGTCAGTGGATGGTTGTGGTAGCAGAGCGAACAGGCTGGGAAGAGGCAGGAGGAGAAGCTTACAGGTGATGGGAATGTTCCAGATCATGACAGCATGGGTGTATACGTTTGTGAGGATACAACACACTATGCACTGAGAATGGACAGATGTGTCACATGCAAATTGTATTTCAAAAATTGATTGTAAAAAATAATTATTTTGCTGAAAGTCACAGAGCTGGTTTCAACATTTTCTGTTGTATCAGCCTTATCCACCACACAGGGACACAGAGTTGAATATAGATTGAAATTCACATGGCCAGAGTTACTAACCTGGCTGAAAGTAATCTTCTTGGAAACACATACACACACCATACACACACACATATAAAAAAATATATTTTTTTAAATTTCCAAACCACCAATAGTGTAGTAATCAACAAGAAAATATATTTAATATATTAACTCACTTCTGTAAAACCCTGTCATTTGAGGCCATTGCCTTTATAGATTAAGCTCTGGTATTACTTCTCAAGATGTGAGCTACGCAGGTGACTCCATTGACTGCTCCAAGCCCCCCCCATACCCCTACCCTTTGTCACGTGACTTCCAGTATCACATACTACAGAGGCAGAGCCTATTTCCCTAACACATGAATCTGGGCTGAACTTGTGACCTGACTTTGGCTGATGTAACGGATGGAGCAGCGGGGAAGCAATGTTACCCAGGTCCTGAGGGGGCCTCAAGGGAGACTGCGGGCCATGCCCCGCCCCCCCCTGCCATGAGGAGGTGCCAGTGCTAGCCAGCCAGACCGTGAGACACACTGGGGCAGAGCACAGTCTCCCCACTGCCCCAGACAGGGGAGCGAGCCCCGCCAGGATCAGCAGAGCAGGCCCCATAAACGCTCCATGTGCACCATTGAGGTTTTATGGGTCTGGGGCAATCAATAGCTGATACGGTGTTACCAGCATTTTGCATGAGGCGCTTTTCCTCGTGGGAGCCTGTCCTGCATTTCAGAGGATGGGTAGCCTCTTGAGCCTCAGCCCACTAAATACCTACAGCATTCTCTAGATGGCCACGTCTAACTCCAAAGGCACCCAAGTGTTCTCAAATGATGCTTGGGGAATCACTGCGATCCAGTGAGCTAGGAGACATTCTCAGCTCTCTAGAGCTTTTAACTGTTGAAAAGGGCGTAATCAGGGATACTCTTTAGCTTTTCAAATTCGATTCAATGTTCTTGCCTATTTGAAGACTGCCACTCTCTACCAATGGTGTGAGCCCAGGAAACTGGAATTCTCATTCCATCTGAGATCCTATGAGACAAAACGACCTGTCCTGACCTGCAGGATTGAACCCAGACCCCCCGACAGCCATGCTCGTTGACCCACCACTCCCTACAATACTCTGTACTTGCACAAGGGATCTCTCCTCTGTTCTCCAAATTGGCCTTTCCCTGTGCACCTCCATGGCTTTGCCCAGGCCCTTCCCTCTGCCACGCCCTCCCTCCCTTCCCCCACTCCTCTCCACCTGGGGACCTCTGCTGGCACCTCTGCAGGTAGAGCGGCCCACTTCCTCTCTGTGCACCAAGAGCACTCAACTCCACTACAGCCCTTGTCAGCCTGAACGGAGACTGGCCCAGGGCAACTTCCCTGTGACACTGCCCCACGGCCCCTAGCACTGTGCCGAGTGCATGACAGGTGCTCACTATTCCTGTGTTGCTAGCATGAGAAATATTTGCTGCACACAGGGGACTGTCATCGCTGTGGCGTTAAGGCCCGGCCTTCTCATTTTCCTTCTGTGTCCTTAGTATTATGCATGGAAGGGGATCATTCTTAAGCCATTATTTGCTCCAGGACTAGCTGTTGAAGGTCTGTGATGGCCGAGCAGCTTTTGGACCGCAAACAAGCACACACTGGACTATGCCCAGTGCTCAGTGCACACGAGTCCCTTTCCTTCGAGCCTCCTGTGAGACACGTGAGGCCTCATTCGACAGTTGAGAAAGCAGTTTCCAGATCCTCAGGTCACTCAGGGAGGTCCATCCCGGGTCTGTGAACCTCCACCACCAGCTGTGTCTCCGGCAAAGACGCTGGTTCAGCAGCCACAGCTCAGCAGCAGAGGTTACTGGGTCTATTCCACTCCTGCCTATACTACCTTGCGTAAGTGGGAGAGTTACTAATAAGCCTTCTGCGCTTCATCTTCCTCATTTGTAAAATGGGGATCATAACAGTAACTGCCCCAGGGGATTGTGGGAAGATCCAGGAGATTCTGCATAGAGTACAGACATCGTCTATTGTCATGATTGTTAGTTTCACAATTCACAAAGGGAGACACCTGGGCCCCTGAAGGCACCTAGGTGGGTGCTTGGTGTCCACACCATCACCTGAAGAAAATGGCAAAGGTCTGGAGGGCAGGGAGGCAGGGGCTGGATAAGCCGGCAGCCCCTCTGATTCGTGAGTGTCAGAAACAGTCCCCATGCCTTTCTCCTGGAGGAAGCCTACTATGCCTGGAATCTGTAACGTGGCCTCTCTGAGGAACCCACACTACAGACGGACACAGCAACGTGCCCCTCTCAGAGGATAAACATCTGCAAAGTTCTTTGCCAAAGCCAGGCTGTTTTCTTTTGCATTGTGTTTTTGGGTGGAGAGGCGCGCCTGGCTTCCAGATCAGTGGAGAGAGGTACAGGAAGGTGGAAGGGTGTGTGCACGGATGGTGCCAGGCACACGTGTCTCGAGCACAGGGTCTTTCTGTGATGAGGACTCAAAGAATATCATCGCATGAGGAAGTGAGTCAGTGACCAGAACCCGAGGAATGCCCGTGGGTATGGGGTTTCTCCTCCCGTTTGTGTACAGAGACACACACCCTTGAGTCAGGGCGAAATGACGTTCCAAGGTAAATGGCTCCAAGAGTCATTTTCTGAAAAGCACCCATAGAGTGGGCCTCTAAAGGCAGGAGCTGTATCCAGCTCATCTCTGATGAATCCTCTGAGCCTAGAACATCTAGAGTGTCCTGTGTGCCCAACTAGCCTGTACTGGATGCATTCATAGCCACAGCACAGTAAGAAAAGGAACAATGGCCAGTGAGAAGTGTTCTCGGAACCTAAAGTATGGCCTGCGCTGGCGTGGGCTCGCCGGGGTCTGGGCAGGGGTCGGGGGCGGGGTGGTTCCTATCAACAATCCATGGGCTACGTAGCCCGTATCTGTGAGCTTCACAGCACTATCAATGTGATTTGGTGGCATCTGCATCCCAAGGCCACCTGTGGCCCTTCAGGTAGGGTCTAGAGGATACTGTTGTCCACCCCACACACTGGCTATTGTGGAAAGCATAGCAGGTGTGAAGTCAGACACACAATGTTAGGATCTATGACTCTGGCCCACCTTGAGCTTTAACGTATTTATTATCAACATGGTGGATTGCATCTTTGCTTAGCTCAGATGGACTAAGTCCCTACTCTGTGCCAGGTGCAGTGCCCAATGTTCACAGGTGCTTTGCTTTATTAATTTAATCGTTCATCTCTGTTCTACATCCGAGGAAACTGAGGCTAAGGTTTCGGGAATCTGCCAGTTACACCGCTAGAGGGAAGCAGTCTGGTTTGAGAACCCAATCTTGGTGAGCTGTGGACCTTTTCACAGCACAAGGGCTTCTCTCTGGGGGATGCGTGAGGACCAGGTGAGCGGGTGGAAGGCACGACGCTTGGGGAACAAAGCAGGCCATAAAAGTGCATGTGTGGGATGTTCCCTGTGCAGCAAGAAGACAACCTAAAAGACACCCCATAGAAAACAGACCGAAGGGAACTCATCACAATGTTAACAAAGCTTTCCTCTGAGCAGTGGATTTGCAGATATATTTTATTGGCGTCTTTCTACTTTTCCGCAATTTTCTCAAATGAGCACACACGTGGAAAAGCGCTCTGCAAACTGTAGAGTGCTACACAAACCTAAGCCACGTGATAACGATTACGTTATGACCTTTTCAAATTGTAACCTAGGACTGTTCATTCCCGACTCCATGGCGGATGTTATCACAAGGGGAAGACTAAGCAGCGCAGGAACTGCCTCCTAGTCACCCAGGGTCCTAGTGATTTCTCTGGGGAGATGCCGAGCAGGAGGGGGGGGTGCTTTCATTAACAGACCCTACTGGTCCGGCACTCCACACGCCAGCCACGGGGTGGGGGACAGGAGGCCCCGACAAGCAAGTCGCAGAAACAAAAGACAGATTCTCCTGAGATGAAATGCATTTGCTAAATTGCTTCTTTGGGCA